AACATATATTTGTATTATATGGTTCAATGAATTCAAATACTCTATGTAGGCTCTTTGGTATTTACTCACCACTGGCTATTAGACAAATTACTTTTCTTAATAGTTGTTTTATCTGGTTCTGGCTAGTTTGACAGTTCACCTTTTGACTATATATACTGTAATTTTTAACTATATTGTCAATGCAGAATAAGAAACACCAGAAACAACATTATGAGCCGTAGCCAGCATAATAAGGTATTTATAGTTTAAGGGTTTTACAAATTAATCTATGGTTAAAAGTTTTTGTCTTAAATATTTTATTTAGTTTCATTTACTTTGCTAATTGTATTTCAAACTTTATATTTTCTTTTTTACCTGTAATAAACTTTCAATGTTGTATAGTATTTTATTGAGACGTATGGTCAACTTACTTTAGTGAACAGTTTTCATTAGCATTAATTAACAAATTGTTTACATTCAGAGTTGTCATTTAACTAGTTTTGCATTATTAATTATTTGCAATAGTGTAATTAAACATAATATACATTATTTGCTACAAAATGATATATTCATATGCATTTATTTGTAAAGTTATATTTATTTGTCATTATCTGTATATTTCAGATCTGTCGTTGCCTTCTTTATAGTATATAATAAAGTATGTGAACGTTCTGCATTCAATTCATCTATGCCTTATTCCACCTGGTCACAGTAAAAAATAAATTATCGAGATTGATGAATGATGACAATGTTTAATAAATATGGTTAACACTACTTACTTAAAACATTTACTGGTACATTTTTTTTACACATTTCAGTACAGAACATGTTGTTATCACGAATATCTTTCATGGTCACGCACACCTCGCTGATGTAATCCAAAACAGAATACAGAAATAGCAAAAACCGATTTATCAAGTTTTAAATATTTTCTTGCTATTTTTGACAGTTTAATTTTATTAATTTTCTAGTGCATTATGTAAACTCACCAAAAATACCAGAATTATAATCACCAGATGATATACGATTTGTTTGACAAAAACAGCGGTGTTGAAAAAAAAAGTGTCCTTTTCAGTCAAACAAGTAGGTTGTCAATTTGCGATTTTAAACTATCTGAAGACTGAACATGTATATAATAAAAACTGTCAGGGTGGCTGATCCATTTCCAATCATATCAATTGCCCAAGTCGTAATAGTTTAGGACTGGTTGAAATAATCCAATAATTAAGGAAATGCGACGTACAGAGTAGAATATTGACTGACGTACTTATATGTCAAAGTTTGTAAAATTGAAATGCGCTGTAATTTCTGTTTACGAATAACGTTATTCCGAAGGTCAGATCAATACAAAATGATGCATGACCAAGTGCCATTGATTACTTTCGGAATGCCAATTTTGTGTTTATAAAGTACACATTGTAATCGAATTAGACGATTATCATGCATTAGTCGTGTTAGTATAACATCAATTTCAACGACCTTTATTTTTTTTTTATAATTAGCAGACTAGGTATTTAAAAAGTAATTGCTTAGTAATTCATATATCCAGTAAAATAAAGAAACACTAAGTGTTTGTATAATATTGCCTATTTAGTCAAGACGATGTATTCTTTGCACTTCAATTGTTTTATTCTTCTTATGAAGATGCAATACAAAAGTCTAAAAGATATAGTATTTTTGTATCAATCTATTCTTTCAAGTAAACATACTTATGAAAATTATAAAGTGCCTCTTTTTATCAAAACATATAATCTAATGCAATAGTGAAAATTGGCAGATTATGGCTTACATCAGCAAAACATTTTGTTATTTTTTGACCTAATATAGTCATCTATAACGTTCGTGATAGTTGCATGCTCTGTATCGGATTTTGTCCACAAACAAATGCCCTACTTTATAAACATATGTCTGAACTGAACATTTTTTAACCACAATTTAAAAACTCTCCTTTTTCATAATATATCAAACCACTAGTTTTTGTAAGCAATGTATTACGTGCCTTACGATAAGAGTAGTATAAAAGGACATACATATCCGAATAGAACTTCACATATTCTACTGATCAAGTACAACCACGATAATGTTGACTATACTTTTAGTTTCACTTGTCGGATCCGTTTCGGCGTGTGGCAAAGTAGGTCCATTGTTAAGAGGACTTGGTAGTAGTGGAGTTGTCACAGGTGGAGCACTCATTGGAGGTGGTGGAGTTATTGGTGGGGCTGGTGGAATTGTCAGTGGTAGTGGACTTCTGTTAAACAATGGTGGATAAGGTGGATTAGCTGGAGTAGGTGGATTAGGTGGATTAGGTGGAGTGATCGGAGGTTTAAATACAGGTAATTTGGAATTGACCATTTATATCATAAATAATTTGCAATTTTTGTATTACTTTGTTTTAAAAAATCGCTGCATTTCTACTGAATATGTGCTTTATAGGAAGATAGACGTCCCGATGAACGCAACATTACACAAAAAAAAACCGCACTGGTCGCACGCAAATTGCCAAGTACTTATCTAAATTACCAGCAAGGCATACAACCTGATCGATTGTTAGTCCCTGTTGGCATCATCAGGTCTTTCCTAAGTTCCCCCTTCTTAAAATAAGGAATTTTAAAAAATCTGAGGTTTATACTCCATCGATCAAAGTTAAAGGAATAAATTTGATAAAGGTCATATTTGGCCCCATTATTAAGTTCAATTATTCAGGAGAAAAAAATGTTTCAAAATGACGAAAAGGCATGAAAGAAAATGTTATTCTACAGCGTTGATTTGTACATCCTAATTAAGGCCAACGAATGAAGATATTTGTGCAATATGACAAAATTGCCCAAATTTTAATCACATTTAGGCATAGGAAACATATCTGGGGCGCAGGCTTTGCCAAACTAACTAATATAGTCAAAGATTTGAAATGTTCTAGGAAACATTACTCGAAAAGATATTTTATGTCGATAAATGTAAATGTTCCTGTGTTTATTTAATTTTCGTTGAAAATTAAATTGAGTGCTACTTTTGACGTCACAATTTTGTTATTGTATTAGCTATATTGGTTGCTAATCTGGTCAGGAAATTATAATTCGAAAGTAGTGCTACAAACAAGAGCTAATTTGGGGTTTGATCGAACCTACTATTTTGTCTGTCTGTTTAAATCCCTGTTAGTCACATAGAACTCCTAGCATTGTATTGTATATACGCATCTCTAGATTTCAAATGCTTACTAATGAGCGTTTCTGATTTAGATTAATCAAGAAATTCTCGATAGATAAGAATTCCAAAAATCGCTTTAAGATGAACACAATTTCATCGATTGTTATTTCATTAACCAAGTATACGATATAATACACATAATATAACATCACATATTTTAATTCAATATTTGCAAGACTTATCTGTCATATATTCATCTATCTGTGTTCTTAAATATTATATCTCTTTCTTACAACACTGTACCTAATTTATAATGAATATGTGCCTTATACGAAAATAAACGTTCCAGCTGAATATAAATCCACATAACATGCCATAGACTCATGACATTCGTCAAGTGCTGATTTAATTTACCAGTTAGGGTCAATACATAGAGGACTGTAAGTTCACGATGATATAATCAGCTCATATACCTCGTTGATAACATAAACAATTGTGTAGAATCTACGGTTTAGACTCAATCAATCAAAATTGACCACAGATACATTTGGCTATCTGTTAAAGTTCGTTTTCGTCATAGAACTCTAAACAGTCCATTATTAGCTCAACAAGCACAAAAATGTCAATATTCACCTCTGAAGCTAACAAAACCTTTAAATAGACTTATTAAGAAGGGATATAGTTACGATACTGTTGTCAGGTCATTAAAGATTGCATATTTTGGCGTTAATATTGATTCACTTATAGGGTCTTGGAATCGGCACTAAACACATTTATTTAAAAACCAGTTGTTGGCATGACACGGGTTATGTTCTTCTCATATATGTTATGATGGTATGATACTAAACCCCTAACGGGAAGGATTGTGCCTGATATTCATATGATGAAGACATAATCTTTCAATCAGTTTAATTGAAGTCTGCAGCTGGCATGTCAGTTAACTGCTAGTAGTCTGTTGCTATTTATGTATTATTGTCATTTTGTTTATTTTCTTTGGTTACATCTTCTGACATCAGACTCGGACTTCTCTTGAACTGAATTTTAATGTGCGTATTGTTATGCGTTTACTTTTCTACATTGGCTAGAGGTATAGGGGGAGGGTTGAGATCTCATAAACATGTTTTACCCCGCCGCATTTTTGCGCCTGTCCCAAGTCAGGAGCCTCTAGCCTTTGTTAGTCTTGTATTATTTTTAATTTTAGTTTCTTGTGTAAAATATGGAGTTTAATATGGCGTTCATTATCACTGAACTAGTATATATATTTGTTTAGGGGCCAGCTGAAGGACGCCTCCGGGTGCGGGAATTTCTCGCTGCATTGAAGACCTGTTGGTGACCTTCTGCTGTTGTCTGTTCTATGGTCGGGTTGTTGTCTCTTTGACACATTCCCCATTTCCATTCTCAATTTCATTGTATTTACACATAGGTAAATTCCGAAAATTGCTTCGGTCAAACACAATATATCAAGTGTATATTCCATCAACCAATTATACTATTTAATATACATGCCAACAAATCTTGAAATTGATTTATTTACAGGACTTGTTGGTGGAGGTCGACCATGGTGCACATGCAGTTTGAAATGTGCTCCAGGACAAATAAAACTCAACAAGAACTGTAACTTGGCACCTCTTCTTCCTGGTAGATTGAATACTTGTTGTTCCTTATTGCCATGGTGGGTAACCAACCAAAATTACGGTCTTTCACTTGGTGGAGCTGGTCTTATTGGTGGTGGAGGTATTGTCGGTGGTGTAAGTGGTATTTTAGGAGGTGGTAGTGGACTTCTTGGTTCCATTGGTGGTATCGGAGGTCCAATCGGTGGTGTTGTCAGAGGTTCTGTTGGTGTCATTGGAGGAGGCAGCAGTGTTGTCAGTGGACCAATTGGTAAATGAGGATGTTATTAAGTATTTGAAATGTAAGTTTGTATTTCTTGTATATATATGTTCTATGACATTTATTATTTCCTCTGTGTATTGGCTGTGTACGTACATCGTCAATCATATATACCTTGAGCAAGATATTTTGCTGGGCATGCATACGCTTGAATACGACGTTCGAAGAATACAATTGTTGTACAAAAACCGTTGTTTTTTTTTTTCTTTCTTTGGCAAAATAAAAGTAGTGTAAGTGAGCTTTCCACTTCGGGATTTTTTTTTATGAAACCTCATGTAGAAGTCTACATGGCGTTCCTTGAAACTGTGTATAGTCCGCTACACATGCAATTAAAGAAACTCTGAGCAATGTATTTTGCTGTTCATTATGAAGGAGAGAATCAAGTGTTTTCTGTCTTGAATCTATTAGATGATTATTATGTGGGCATTGCGTGATCTATGTGCTGTTTAATTAAATTCGCTGCAGAATTAACACTATATATTATAACGTCTAAATGTTAACATATAGTACACAATCAGATATATTTGTTGTATCACACATATAAATGGACCTTCACTTAAACATTGTTGCCTTTTGTAGTTTAGATTAGTTATATCGATATGCTGGAATTATTTACTAACATTTTAATTGGTGTATCTTCTTATTGTAGGTAACACAAACACGAAGAAAAACTTGAAATGAAATGCTTGAAATTAGTAAATTTGTTTTATAAATATAATCACAAACGGATTGTCATGCTTGTTTTTTTTTTTTTTACAATCACATTTGATTGTTGGCTGTGTAGTTTATATTCTGTTATTTTTACCAGCATTCTACATTAAGTTACCCAAACCTAAATGTTGTGCTGCTAAAAGGAAACCACACCCTGCTCTACTTGAATTTAGTTTTCTTGTGTTTAGGTGTGAACACAACATTGTTTAGCTGAGGAAAACATAGATCTGAACAACTTTGTTATAAGCAATGTTAGTGTGCATAGTAAACATGGTACATAATTGATTAAAAAGTTGAACTTAGAGATGAAAATGTTGGTTTTTTTTGCGTCCTTTAGTTCATTTTGCTCTTCAACTGATTCAGTTCTTATACAGCCTTGGCTTTAAAATATTCGGATTTGAGAGTTTCTGATGAAGGTTAATCAAGAAAATTGGAATTGATAACGTGGTGTTTTCATTTTTTTTTGCAAATAACATCTTTTTTTAAAACACAGACACTTTGGTTTATTTCATTTAAACTCTTTTTTTTTTCGATTTACCCGTCCGTGCACTGTCTTATATATTTACAAATTACTTCAGATTAAATTACCATCAGACTATAACAAACAGATTTCCATGTTTGTTTTTGTTTACAATCACATTTTGTTTTTGGTTGTGTAATCATCATTTGGTTAATTTGACCTCTACATTTTGAAGATGTTGTACGTCATGGGTAAACAAAAACTGAAAACGACGAAAAGACAAACATCATTATACATTTAGTTACCAAAGTCTAACAAACACATGGGTTGATTTGTTGTGCTGAAAAAAAGGAAAGCACATCCTGCTCTGCTAGAATTTAGATTCTTGGGCCTAGGGGTGAACGCAACATAAAACTAGCCAAGGAAAACATAAAACTAAACTACCTGGTTATAAGCCATGTTAATGTCCATAGTAAAACATGATACATTATTAATGAAACATGCTTACTGATAATAAAAGTTAGCGGGGTAAGTAAGCAAATCATTAATAACAAATATAATATAACTTGTTAAATAATTATATAAAAAAAAGTGTCAAAGTATCCCATTTTACTTCTAGATATACACGTACTTAAACAATATTAAGATTTTACCAATGTGGAAAACTAATTAAATCCAATCATACATTGAACTATCGCAGGCAATTATTGTATTGTATACACCCATGAATGGTATAAGACCATACGTTCTCCTTCGTGTTTTTTAATATCTTGGTGGGTGGGATGCAGTGTCATTGACATATCCAAAACCGCTTATTTTCAATATTTTAATGTTGATCATAACAAAACTTTTGTTCAATTCCTGTAATCAAATGTTTGTTCTTTTCATTAAAAAAGTAAAAATCAAAGATAATCGTTAAAGGGCGTAGACATTGACGTGTGTGAGAAACGTTATATAATTCGGGCATCGTTTTAACTAGATATCGTTCCAGCGAGTCGTTTTATTACGGAAAAATACTTGCATGACATACAGCCAAAAGTAACGTGTTTAAAGATCTTATAGCTTAATGTCGCGCTAAGAGTGTAATCCCTCGAAACTGTATCGGATCACCGCAACAATCTAGAAATATTTTGTGATATTAACAAAGTACCATGATACAAATTGATGAAAAGTTTACTGAGAAAAAGGCTAGGTGCGAACGTAACATGAGACAAAATGAAGGAAATCGTCCTAAACGGTTTACGTACAAATTAACAAGAGTAGCAATATCAATACTTTACCTCCATGCTGTATTACTTGATGTGTTTAAGACGATCGGATATATAGATAAATTGAATGAATGATTGCTTACATCCAGTGGCGAACATTACATGCACGATTGTTTTACAAACTGGTAAACTATTCCTTTAAATTTTCTCGTTTAAGAAATCGAATGACGCAGTTTTGACTAAGAAAAATCTGTGTTAGGTAACTGTATCTATATTGTAAAAAACTAATAACTATGAAATTGGTTTCCAAAATTGACAATTAATTTTTCTTATATTCTTCCATTTTTGTGTCTAGGTAACTTTTGTTGTCACAATGTTTAATAAATGAAATATATCAGATTTTTTAAATTTTGATCGTTTTTTGTTTACCTGTCGCATGTATAAATCTGTTTTAAACCACCTCAACTATGGAGTGCACTGATAAATACAAAAAATATTGTGATTGATGTTTCAAACTATATTAGATTTTAAAGTTTCTAAATTTTCCATTTGGCTATGCACATTTTGTTATTGCCAAATATATAATGCTCTAAAGGCCTGTCATAAAAAAAGGAGGATCACAGTTCTTTTTAGTTGAATTAATTTATGTGTCAAGTATACCTTTGTTAATATAGTTCTAAATTCTTATATCAATGGGAAATCTTTTTACAGTTTTAGAAAAAGGTGATTTTGGTAAAAATGGCAGTTATCTTAAATCAAAGAGTGCTCAAATCGATGTAGTCTAGATTTGGTGTAAATAATGAAATGATTGGATTATCAATGGAATTCACAAATTTTATTTGTTTATACCGACATTTCTTAAAAAAAAACACCAAACTGACTGCCAGTCAATCCTTATATCAAACTAAGTTTCCCGTTTCAATTGTGCCTTAGGTATGGTATTCAATTAAGAACGTGTTGAATATCTTTTGTTTTTTTTTTTTATTTTTGGAGTTATTTTAATACCTGAAATTGTGTACAGATTTAAGTTGTCTTTTTTAGTTAACAAATTGACCTGCTGACTTGTTAAACATTTTATACCCATTAGTATATCTATGTACATTTAATGTATATCGAATTTGTGAATATTCGGCCATGTAATTCCTTTTATCAATAAGTCGGTTATATATATTACATAATTACGGTTTTGAAAAGTATTCGTTTTAAAATTTCATATGTTACCATTATTTCACTCTTGATAAACGATTTAAAATAAAAAAGATGTTTTTTTCAAAATTAATACCAGAGTGAGAAAAAAGTCAAATTTTCAGTTTTTCTTTCTTTGTACTAGGACTATACACTTTTTCTTTGTTCTAACAAAGAGTGAATGGCATCTATTTGATGATAGACCGAAATAAGATAGATCTGTACATCTACATAATAAATACTCGTTATCAATTACTACGTCAGTGATTTACTGTGATCAGGAGAGCTGAAACTTAAACGCATAATGGTTAAAGCTAGATACTGAAGAAGGACCAAAGTAGAACAACCAAGTCCATGTTTAGTCAATTTTCCCTGAGGACGTTGGAATAGATGTTTCTTACAATCTTCTCAAAAGTAGAATGGAGAATTTAAGATAGGAACATATAATAAATCATGTCAGTACCAAAACATTGACTACAGATCCGATTATACCCCGGAGAGTTAGATTATTCTAGCAGGTGCATATGAGCCATGCTAGTAAAAAAAATAAACATTTTAGAAAAATAGTCTGTCGGAAGCGATTTTGTAGAATTACCTTTATCTGGAAGGCTAACACGTAACATAAGAAAGCCAGGGATTCGTAAATACAGAAATAAGAGCTAATTGATAAAAAAAAAAAATCATTAAACGAAAAAAATAATATAAAATGAAGGTGTGTGGTATGATTGTTAATGAGACAACTATCCAATGAAATTCAAATGAAGTGGATGTAGACAGTCATAGGCAACCGTACGGCCTTCAACAATAAAAAACATACCGAAAAGTAGGCCATGAAAGGCCCCGACATGAAAACACATGAAATAATTAAGTTTGTCTTATGTCAAATTTGCCTAAGGAAGTTGAAACATTTTAAATCTTTAAAATTTTCATATATGAGAACGTAGAAAAGTTGTTAAAAACATTTAACATTAACGATACAATTTCAACACCCTACACTCCCAATGGGGAAAAAATCAAATATGTTTAGGGGTTCCATTTTTAAAACGTCATGTGCAATGTATAAAATCGTCATAAAAAGACAATATCTGTTTAAAAATTATACTCATTTGACATGTTTGAAGCACTTTCCTTCATTGATTTTTTGCAGGAACGCATAGAGCAAACATTTGAAAAACCCAAAAAAGAACTGACGAAAATAGATGTATGACGAAACGAACCCTAACATAATAGCCAAATCAATGATTGTTCTTCGTTTCCATTTCTTGACACAGTAATGCTGTTGTGGGCTGATCATCAAATCCTAAAAGTTTATTTCGAGATTGATGTATGACGATAGTGTTTAATAAATATCGTTAACACTTACTTACCTCAGACATTAAATGAGAAATCTGTTTTCACATATTTCAGTTCAGAACAATATCTATCATGGTCACGCACACTTTGCTGATGTAATTTAAAAGAGAAAACACAAACAATAAAAAACCAATGCATCTACTGTTAGATATTTTCTTGTTGTTTTTGACAATTTAATTATTTTTTTTTATTTGTTTGCTTCAGTTGCTCTACGATAGCTTTAAGATAATATGTGTAACGTGCTCTCTTTCTAAATTTCTAGTTCAATGTATAAAACACATCAAAGATATTATACTGAGCTTATAATCCCCAGATGATATACGATTTGTGTGACAAAAACTGCGGTTTTCAAAAAATCATTGTCTTTTTTAATAAAATTAGAAAGCGCTGTAGTTAAACATTTTGTTCAATAATTGCGTTATTTTTGGAGGTTAGATCTATACCAAAAAGCTAAATCCAAAACAGAAAGTCCTTAATAAAATGCCAAAATCAAAAGCTGAAACACATCAAAAGAATGGGAAACTACTATCATATTCCTGACTTGGAACAGGCATTTCCTTATGTAGCAAATTGTGGAATAAACCTGGTTTTGTTGCTAACTAAACTTCTTAATTGCCTGACAGTCACATAAAGTCCTTAATATTGACAACAATGTGTGAGGAAAACAAACAGACATAATAGGTAAAAATTTCAAAATTTGGGGTACAGCAGTCAACATAGTGTTATAATCTTGATCATTATAAAAACAAAGAAATATATCAACAAAAACAACGATATGGGAATAGACACTCTATAGACAAAGTGCATCAGCA